GAGTAGCTTTGAGGCATGTATCCTCATGTGTTTCAGGCACTGCACTACCTAGTCCCTACAACCATGGCTACGTTATTAAAACTACTAGGGTACATTTGGCCACTACCATAAATCCTGAATAATGCCCTTGAAACTTACAGACAGCATCATTAAAGTAACCAAATTGGTTTTGGCTACTTCTAACTAAAGTTTTATTTTCCTGAAATATTATATTAATTATCCAGAGTTGATGAATAACAAATAGTTTGTTTGGATAATTTCTGGTAACACTTTTTAAAAATTGTATGGTCTTCCACTTAGAAGAATCATATCAATATTAGTAGGTTATCAGATAACCACGCTACACAGGAGACATTCTAGATTTATTTTATGTTCCAACGCACTTCTCCCAGCATCTTTACAGATGGCTAGAAAAGAGAAGTGGCATCCTGAGTTCACAAACCTCTGAGAATTTAAAAGATAGCAACATCACTCCCTCTAGGATGGAGAGGGAGAAGAGCTCAGTGCCTGCTGTTCTGAGGAAATACCTCCAGACTGGTAGTGGTAAGAAAACAGGTTAAGAAACATAATAAACTCTCTCATAAGCATTTATAGTAAATGGAAGACCCGTGAAGTGCTACTCATTAAGTCACTGGGGAAAAAAAAACACCAAAAAACACAACAAAACCAGAAAAGAAAAGAAAAGCCAGCCTCTAAAAAAATTCTGATTATACATTTGTCAAAAGTAACACTTGAGGAGATGTTTTTATTACCATTCCTATTTAGCTTTTGGTCATGACATGTCTCAGGAATAAAAAAAATATATATTTTTTAAATTTTATTTAACCCAAACAACTTCTTCCTGCTGCTTGTAGAAATCACTCGGCTAGTCCACGTAGTGACTGAAAGAGATCGCCTGTAGCCTGCGCTTATCGTCTCACCAGAAGAAATCATGAAGAACCCTGGTCAGTAGTCCTCCTCCTAACGCTTTCTGCTTCAGTATCTGGCATTTCTGTAAAAGGTATACAGTGTAACCAGCATCTCCTAATCCCCCCTCTTAACTGGGGTGTATTAGGAAGGACTAAAGCCTACTCTAGCAAAGATGACATTCATACATAACAATCCTGAAAAATATTTGTTAACATAATGCTTTGTTTATTCAGTCTGGCAAATGCTTTTATTTTAACCTCAAGTATCTTTAGTAAATGTCAGTGGTAAACACAAATTCATAGTTGGCTAACAAGTCTCCCTTATGTGTATTTCTAATTAAGCTTCTTCCTAGATACTGACTAACATTTAAAACAAACATTCTGTAGAGAATCGAAGTAAATCAAACGATGAAGTATTCCTCTTTGTGAAACTGCACATTTATATGGGCATCACCAGCAGAGGGAAGGAGATCACGGTATCCATGCGTAATAATTCCTCCATGCTTTTTTTCTGGATATGCAGAAATATTTTCTTGTCCTCTTCAATTGTGTTGTAAACTTTGATGTCTCTTCCACAGCAGGTAATATGAGGTTGCGTGCACTCTTTATTCAGAACTCAGTTCTCAGTCAGAATCTGTGTGTTTAAATGTGTATACAAATATAAAACACACACATTCACACACAAGTATTTTTAAAATTGTAACCAGAGTGGTGAATGGACAAGAAAAAGACTGCGATATACTAAATAAGAGCTTCATTTTCATGTGAGGAAACCTCAATTAACAGAGTTCTGTACGGCTGAGTGGCTTAAAAACTTCTGCCAAGACTCTAAGCTGCTCCTTTTTACTTATTACAGCCAACCCTGCCAAAAGACCATAAAAATTGATTTTATGTTTCCGGTCTCTCTATGCTAGCTGGAAAAGTATAGATTTTCTTCCCCCCCCCCCCCCCCCCCCCCTTATCAGAATATTTAAACTCTTGCATGGCTTTGCAGATCGTTGTAAATAGAAAGTACTCTGCGCTTTCACTTTGCTTAGTGTTTTAAGGCC